CACTGATGATGTCTCATTGGAGAAAGTGGCCCCCCCTCTGTAAACGAGTGAGGAACACTGGGCTCGTGAAGATTCATCGCCAATGGCTCCATTTCCGACTCGCGTGTCATCGTCGACCAACGAACGTTCGTCGAATCGTCTCAACTCGAACGGAAGCAATGATTGAGTCTCCTGCACACCGGTGTCTACCTCACCCACCGTCGTTGTTGTTGTTGTTGTTGTCGTTGTTGTTGTTGTTGTTACCTTCCTGAGCACCGCCGCTCAATCTCGCCCAAGGCTGCATCTCTCGGCTTGTAAGCGGCCTTGGCTTCGCCCGGAGATTGTGGATGAGCCACGTGGGCGGTGGCCATCGCTCAGCGCGGTGGCGACGGCTCCGCTACGGCGCCGCGGTCGCGGTGTTTAACCGCGTTACGGACGGGGCGGTGAGGCGAGACAAATTAAATGCGTTTCGACCCCCCCCCCCATCCCCTACCCCCCAATGCCTTCTCCACGCCTACATCTCCCAAATATATCGCTTCCAGCGAATTTATGGTCTCCAAAAAAATGTGTTTATATTTTAAAAACGTCGTATCGTCAGTTGAAGTGCCCGTTTCGGAACTCTCGCCAGAGCTCGGTGGAAATATTCGTGTCAGAGAAGGGTCCACGGAAGAGGATATCACAGAGCCACCTCTGATATCCATTCCAGTGACCTCTTGCCCACGCGCGCGTGTTATTGGGGGATGCTGCGGCCCCTGGCGGCCTTTAGTGGGGGCCATCGTCATGCTGCTGTCAAACCCCGAAGGTTTCAAAAGGTGTGGCGGCCCTCACACTGATGATGTCGTATCGGGGAAAGTGGCCCCCCTTCTAGAACATTAGTGAAGAACACTGGAGCACAGCCAGCCACGCGAAGAGCAGCCACCGCGGCCCAGCTCGTGACACCACGCACACGTAGGTTAGCAGACGAGAGAACAGCTCGGAAAATAAAGCTGCAAAGTTTGGCTCAAGATAAAATACCGCACGAGCAAAGCAAACTTCACGTGACAGGTGCTTTAATGTCAGCCGGAAACGTCGGAAAGACCGACACGGGAATGAATTGAGCGCGCCACATCCGTCATGTAACTGCTCATTAATCGGCGGATGACACCTTCATATTTAGAGGATCGCAGAACTTGGGCAATTGTTTGTAGCGCCGCTTCCTCACCGCATCGCCGCTGTTGCTGCCTTCCCGTTCTTCGTCTGTGGCTCCTCTCGTCTCCCCCCCTCTCTCTCTCTCCGCGAGCGAGCGAACACTTCTGCAGTGGCACAGTATTACAAGTTAAATTGATATCATTACTTCGCCTTATGTTGTCCTCATTTGTTGTTGTATATAAGGGTGCTTAAAAAATGTGCACACTTCTGAGAATTTGCAACAAAAACACGAGAGATGCGCTGCCTCTTCTCCAGGTGGAGACCACCTGGAGAAGATTCGAGGCGCGCGTTGACAACGTGGCGAACACGTGGGAGAGACTCTTTGACTTGTTGAAGCTACTAACATCACATTTGTCATCACGTTGCAGTGTATTATCCGTTCTTTTTCCATAAAAAAATTATAGTCCCATATAAGTGTTAATATTCTTTTGACGTACCCTGTATATAAACCTGTTCATACGAGGCATTATAGGAACATAGGGTACGATAAAACGGGATTAGTACAGATACGCGTAATCTAATAGTACTCTCGTGGTAGTACCTTACGCCGATAAATCCCCACTACGAGCCAGGCGCCTTGTAGCATCTGTCGGGACAATATCGAGGGAGGATCGATGGAGGCACGGCTCCTGGAGGAGCCATCTCCGCCCGTCGTGCGTGCGGCTGGAGCCACGGCGAGCCCACGAGAGGAGTCGCGGGGTGAGAGTGGCGGCTCCGCGCAGGCCGTGGACGTCGCCTCGCCCGGCGGGCGAAGGTCGCGTCGCTCCACACGGGACTCGGAGCGAGCGAGGTCTCAGCAACGGGGCCTCCCCTCCCCTCCCGTCCCCTCCCCTCCCTCTCATCCCCTCCCACCCCCCCATCGCCTCCCCTCCCATCCCCTCCGCTTCCATCCCATCACCTCCCATCCCCTCTCTTCCCCCCCCTCCCCTCGCCTCCCCTCCCATCCCATCCCATCCCCTCCCCTCCCATCCTCCCCCCTCGCTTCCCCTCCCATCCCCTCCCAATCCCTCCCCTCCCCATGTTTCCCCTCCCCTCCCCACCCCTCCCCCCCCCACCCCTCCCCTCCCATCCCCTCCCAATCCCTCCCCTCCCCATATCTCCCCACCCCCCCCCCCCCGTCCCCCCGTATGGCACCCGAAGTGGATGTGACTGGCGAGACCCTTGCAAGCCTGTGGCCCAGTTTTGGGAGTCGACCCGATGACATCTGCAGCCGCTCGACTGAGGAGCGGTCGCGACTGCGTGGCTGCTGACGGCCTCGCGTGGCCTTGCCCGCCAAGGGGTTGTGGTGCGGCAATTAAATCGGAGCGCGATCGTGCCGAGCCGCTACCTGCTGACAATGGGGCCTCTTCCGTGGGGGGCGGGGAGGGGGCGGTGAGGGGGGGGGGGCTAGGGATGACCTACATCGTGAGATATTGTACCACGTGCTCTGCCAGATAAATTAATGTGTGGTGGAGACATTCTTATAACGTGCGGTATACTGAGGCTCATAAGATTTCCAACTCACTTTAATTGGCATTCAGGTTAAACACAGTTTGGAAAACCAATGTAATGATGTGAAAAAAACAATACATTTATATTTTAATGAAATAAATTCCTAAAATAGATTCATTCTATCCAAATCACAACGAGTACAAATATGTCATCATCATCATCACGATTATCATCGGCAGCCATGATCTATCCACTGCTGGGTGACGGCCTCCCTAAGCCGTCTCAATCTCTCACGGTTTTGCGCGCTAACAATCCGCACAACGCGAGCTGACTTCGTTGCTCCGTCTCCTCGGTTGGATCTTTGCGGCTCGTCGAGGCCGCCTTCCGGTCTGTTGGTCGGGCCTGGCGCTCCGTGATGATCGCTGACCCCCCATGGGCAGCGTCCCCTCTTCCCTGACCTGCCCGCTCGCCCGCCACTGCTGCACCACCACCACCGCCTGGTGCCGTCGCCTCGCAGGTGACGTGAAGAAGACGCAGATAAGAAACAAAGACGGCGGTGCAATATTTGTACGCGTGGAGAAATCTCTCCGACCCATACGACTGCAAAATTCAGAAATAGCTTCGTCATATGAAACCATCACTTGCTTGTGTTCATCTGCTGCGTTCTAAACGCATTTAAATGTAAACAAACGTAATCGATGGTGTGCTGTCATTTTAGAGTAGCTTAATTTTTTCACAATAATTCCTCATTTGGTTTTCTATGGTAAAGGTAAAGGCGCGGCCCTGCAATATCCTGCTCACGCCGCTGCTGGCGGAAGGGGCCGACCACTGGAGGGAGCTCCGGAGAGTCGCGGTTGAGGGCGTTTTGGTGCTCACGGGAAAGGAGTTTCACATCATCCGTGTGTGACCCACCAACCCTCGCTGCTGCTGCTGCCTCCACAGCGCTGGGTCACAGGCAGCCACGCGCACAGCCACCACCACCGCCACCGCCGCTGCCGCGTTCTGGCTGTGCCCACTCAAGGCTCGATGATCACCACGAAGCCAACATCGCACATTTACGGAATTCGGCCAAATATCGCAAATGTGGCAGGAACCTTCTGAAAGAGTCTTGAGAAGACTCTGCCCGAGACCAGATCACACGGAGTCTCGCCCGATATCGTCCGATCTCAGAAGATAATCAAGGGGGGACCCCCTTGGGGTGCAGACCCCCAGGGGCTCGCTATGGGGGCGGGGGGGGGCCCTTGGGGTGCAGACCCCCAGGGGCTTGCTATGGGGGGAACCCCTTGGATGGGTGACCGCCGTGCACCAAACACAGGTGCTATAGGCTACGCCGAGCGCAGCAGAGGGCAGCGCAGCGAAACTCAATGTTGTCCCGCTGCACTCTATACCGCCACACTTTCACCAAGCCCGCACTGACCAGCGCGGTGAAGTATGGTCAATTAAGCCTCATCTAGCAGTGGAATTGACGTAACGGGGTCGTATATTCCGGATTATAAGACGCACCTCCACCTCCACCCAGGGTCGGATTCAGGCACGGAGCTTCAGGGGCTGCAGCCCAGGGGCCTCCACCAGCTGGAGCTTCTCCAGAGATGAAGTGAAAAGTTATTTAATTTGTGAATGCTGAATTTTATTTGTTGTTAGCCTTGTAAAAATAAAATTTTATTTTTCTTCAACTTTGTTTTCCTTTTGAAAATATCACTGGGGGTCTCACAGTACGTGTAGCCCAGGGGCCTACGCAATCCTAACGCGGCCCTGCCTCCACCACACCGACCCCGTCTTGTAAATCAAAAGGCGAGGCTGCGTCTTATAAATCGGTAAGCTGTGCGTGTGATCAGCTTCGTGCGTGGGAGCGGTGGCGCAGTGGTTAACGCACTCCCTTCAAACTCGGCGTTCCCGAGTTCGATTAACGCTCACGACCAAATAACAGCGGCGATATTATAACCCGTGCTGGGACTCCCCTAGGTCGACTCAGCCTTAAACGACTATCTGGTGCGGTGTGTACACATCAGCACTGGGGGTGAGACAAAGGCGGCCGGGCGTCGTTCTGGCCACACACAACCCGCTTTGAGTACCGGCCTCAATAGGTGATCGCTAACAGCCCTTACCTCAACATCCCGTCAAGGTTACAGATTTGTGTCACTTTCCTGTCCCCGGGGACAAGGGGAGGTGGCGCGTCTCACTTCCCGGAGCGTCTCACAATCGGGGCGAGACGCGACTCCACGTGGCAGGCTGCTGCGTGAGCGCGGGGCGCTGCCACCTCCAACAGCGTCCTCGTGTGGCGGAGAAGCTTCCCGGCAGCAAAGGCTGCGTGCCTTTTCATCCTCCAGCCCCTCCTCCTCACCCCCCCTCCTCCTCCTCTCCCCTCGCGCTCTCTCTCCCCGCACTCACCGCCTGCGCGGCGCGCTCACAGGAGGCACGGGGATTGCATCGCTCCACTTTCTCTCGCTCGCCGCTCGCAAGCAACCCGCTCTTCGATTTGCCAACGGCATCATCAGGGGACCATCTGCATCAGCGCCAGCGATGCGAGTGATGGTGGCGATAGCGGTGCGTGCGCTTTGTGATCGTGTGCATGCGCGTCTTTGTCGGTGCTCGCTAACAGCACTTGCCCCAACCGCCTATGTGGGTTATACTGGGGACTTGTGTCTTTGTGTGACCGTATGTGTCTTTGTGCAGAAATGCTTGCTAGGAGCACTTGCCCCAACATCCTATTTAAGCTATACGGGGGACCCATGTCTTTGTATGTGTGTGTCTGTATCGGTGCTCGCTATCAGCACTCGCCTCAACAGCCCGTGGAGGCTATACGGGGGCTTTATCTTTGTGTGTGTTCGCTTGTGCCTGAGCATCCATCCCGCGGGTGAGGCTGCCGCTCAGCCGCTCGAAGTGGCGTCGCGGGCGGGAGACCCGCTCCGTGCCAGGGACGCGGATCAGCTGCATCGCCCATGCGACTCATCCATCTCACTGATGCCCATCCCGTCCCGTCTGCCCTCTCCTGTCCCCTCTCTCTCTCTCTCCCTCTCCTCTCGCTCCCGTCATTTCTCCCCTGTCAATCTCTTGGCTTACCCCCCCCCCCCCCCCATGTCTCTCTCTCTCTTCTGTTCTCTTCTCGCTCGTCTCCTCGACCGCTCTCTCTCCTTCATCACTCTTCTGTCCTCCTTATCTCGCTCCCTCTTCTCGCGCTCTGCCTCTGTTCTTCTCCTGCACGCTCTTCTCTCTCCTCTGTCTTCTTCTCTCCTGTTTGCTCCCCCCCCACCACTCTCTCGCCCTCGCTATCTCTCCCTTCTCTCTTCTTCCCGCTCATCGTCCCCCTCTCTTCCCCATCACCTTAGGCGAAGGATCGATGTGGTGGCGGCTCTGGGAGGATGTACGAGGCGACGTCGTGAGCGAGTAGACATCAACGGATTGTAAATAAAACAACAACAACTTGCATCGAGAGAGAATTGGGAATTGACCGTCTCTGTGGTGCCGCGGCGCGAAGACAGCGCGACTGTGGGACGACGTGGAAGCCTCGAGCGAGCGAGCGAGAGAGCGACATCGGACGTAATTACACACAAGCTCGATATTCGTGCTCACTCTCCCCGCCAGCCAGCCAGCAAGCCAAGGCGGCCATCCGTCGTCAGTGAGCCACCCATCCCCTCGCTATTGTTCCTCTCAAGATGTGTCGCTCGCGTGGAGGCGGCGGAGGAGGAGTTACCGAAGCGATGGAGCGAGGTTTGCTGCTGCTGCGCTCTCTTGCGAACCGCGTTACTCCCGCTCCAACAACTTCATCATCAGCAGCAGCAGCAGCAACATCATCAGCAGCAGCAACATCAGCATCAGCAGCGTGGCGTTCCACGTCTCCTCGCGGCATGCTGCTGCTGTTGCTGGCGTGGGCGGTCGTGGCCGATGCGGGTGCCACGTCGTACCCGACCATCAGCACGACGTCGGGGAAGCTGCGCGGGGTGCGAATCGTGCTCAACAACGAGATCCTGGGCCCCGTGGACCAGTTCCTGGGGGTGCCCTACGCCGCGGCACCCGTGGCGGAGCGGCGCTTCCAGCCGCCCGAGCCGCCCAAGCCGTGGCAGGGAGTGCGCAACGCGACGCTCTTCGCTCCCGTGTGCCCGCAAATCATTCGCAGCGACCACCCGGAGGTGATGCTGCCCGTGTGGTTTACGGCCAACATGGACGTGGTGATGCCCTACCTGGAGGAGCAGAACGAGGACTGCCTCTACATGAACATCTACGTGCCCACGGAGGACGGTGAGTGGGCGCGAGAGTGCGTGAGTTGTTGTTGTTGTCGTCGTGGTGTTGTTGTTGTTGCCGTGGTGCGCGGTGGTGGCCACAGCTGTGTGACAACTCACTCCCCTGCTCATCATCCCTCCATGCCGCTGGCCCACTCGCTCGCTCACTCGCTCATCCACTCGGCCATCAACCTGTCTGCACGGACATTCACCCAACTCGTCTCTGTTCGTGTTAATGAATTGTTTCATAATATCATGCCAGACGTGTCCACGGCGCACTTGTCCATTTGTCTGCCCCATCCACCAACCAACCACCACAATCATCGTCGTCGTCGTCGTTATTATCATTGCCATGGCCATCGGCATCGCCAGCACCGCTGCTGCCCTGTTCACGGCGTGGAGGTAGACTCCTCCTGCATGCGTGTCTCGTGCCATCCATGGAGCGCCGCCCGTGTCTCTCTAGCCTTAGCCCTGCCACAGATGGACAACGCATGAGATAGACGAGGCACATTGAGACAGGGAAAGAGCTAAATGCGACAGAAATACGGTCTCTCTCTCTCTACGCAGATATGTGAAGTGTCCCTGTATTTGAAACCAGCTGAGAAAGCCCGTTGAGAATATAGGGCTAGGTCGCTGAGAAGATCTGGGACGTTAATATATAACAATCATATACATGTAGACAAGAATGGAAGAAATATTAATAAAACAAGATGACCATCATCTAACAGAGACGTGACACAACACACGCCTGCAATGCTACACATCACAGCGATGTGGGTAGACATCACTTCACCCAGCAAGTAACTCGGCAGTGCTTACACGCGCACGATGCGAGGGCGCGGATTTAGAAGCAACGCTCGTCACAAAGGCGTTACAATGACGTTACAGACATTACAATGACGTTACAAATACGTTACAACGACGTTACAATGACGTTACAAAGACGTTACAATGACGTTACAAAGACGAAGCGACATCGTGCTCGACTGAGCTGACGTCGTTACTGGCTGACACACAACGCGACGACGAGGTGGTGGTGAGGAGTGGTGGCGCAGCGGTTAGCGCACTGCGCTGCCAACCCGGCCACCCGAGTTCGATTCCCGCCCACAGCCAACACCGGTGACGGTTATCTGAACCGGTTCTGGGCCTCCCCTAGATTGACTCAGCCTCAAACGAGTACCTTGTGCGGTGTGACAAAGGCGGTCGGGCGTGGTGCTGGCCATCTCGTGTGCCGTGCCGGCCTACGTAGGTGCACTTGCCCCAAGAGTATGTGAAGGTCTCCGGGGGACCTTTGTCTTTGGCGCTGATTGGAGGCAGTTTAATCTCGACAAGATTCGGCGGCAGATTCAAGATTTGCGTGGACTCGCAATTATTGACGGCCCCGACACACACACGGGAACGGAGATGCTGCCATTTAGCAAACTCAGAACGAGGCCGTTGAGTTTCGCATTTAATTTAAATGGGATTTTTTTTTGTCATATCAAGAGGAGACGTGGGGGTGGTGGTGAATAATTGATGCGAGAGAAAGGAGTAATTTAACGGTGAATAATTGATACATCTCGCGGGCTTGGGGAACATCCGACGTCGATTTATAACACAGCCGGCGCAGCACGTCGGAGCGAGCCACAATTTAATAATTCTCTTGTTAAGGATTTAATAATTCAGTCATTCATTCAGTAAATACGAGTGTGTGAAGCTCAAGTCCGCTTGCGTGGGTTTGCGGTTTTGGTTTTAACGCCAAAATATTCCAGCCGTGGGGGTAGTGTCCGATAACGTTGGGGGCGTGAAGCTTTGAAGAGGCATTGTTGTACAGCTCTTCACGTGCACCGCCGAGACGCGGTCGCCTCCTCAAGCCCTGGCCATGATAATCGTGCTGTCTCAACTCACCGGTGCGCGCACGACGCCCCCCGCTATCCGAAGCCTTGTCGGTCATTGAGCGGAGGGAGCGGGGTCACCATACTTCACCGCGCTGGTCAGTGCAGGTTGGTGAACGTGGAGGGGGGGGGGGCAGAACCAGTTCCGATATCGATTGCCACCGATGTTGGCCGTGACCGGGAATCCAACTTGGATGGCAGGAGTTCGTGGTCTGTGCCGCCGATCCACTCCCCGTGGTAGCAGCTGCCAACATTCCACCCTTCAGTCGCACAGCTCCACGTGATCGCGGCGATAATTCGGTCTACAAGGGATTCTTAAAATCATATTCGATCGATACGTTGGCACCCTGTGGCTAGTGAACAGGTAACAACGATAATTATAAAGCATTGACTTGTACATGCAGGGTGCGGGTCTGTGTGCACGGGGGCAGGTCGCGTGGTCGTTAGCGCGCTGCGCTACGAACCCGACCACCCGAGTTTGTTTTCCGCCCCCGGCCAACGCCGGTGACGAATACCTGACCCGGTCCTGGGCCTCTCCTAGGTCGACTCAGCCTCAAATGAGTACCTGGTGCGGTGTAAACATCGCCGCTGGGGAGACAAAGGCGGCCCGCCGCGATGCTGGCCACCCACCCCCTATGCGCGCCGTGTCGGCCTTCATAGGCGCTCGCCAACAGCACTTGCCCCCAAAAAGTCGACTCAAGCTCTATACGGGGAGTCGTTGTGTTTGGGAGCAGGCCACCCGGGCCCTAGTGGACGCTCCCCACGCCAGTAGCGGTGGACAGCACCAGGGCACCGGCACATGTCGCAATCGCCCGCGGTGAATGGCGCCAGGCTCCAGCCAACGAGTCGCGTGGTGCAGCCTCAGCAGGGGGCGATGTCACCATTTGGCTTTACCCCCAGCGAACGGCGCGGAGGAGCCGCCGCCTTCACACGGCCGTGTCGCCGCGTAACACAATGCAATACTAAATAAAAACAAGTATGTCTAACTCAACACATCAGGCCGCACGGCCTCATTTGTGTGAGCGGATCATGTGAGCAGCATTGATTCAAGACAAGCAAAACCTCTGGACCGGTTTCAACATGCAGCTGAGTCAGGCTTTGCTCGGGTCAATTCGCGAGTCGTAAAAACGAAAAATCCATCAATTCGAGCCGTGCCGCCTGCACACACACACACACCCACACACAATTTCCTACTCGAGATTGTTGTTTTTTCCCCGAGAAACGTCACGGGGACTCTGTGACCTGCTGCCGTGAAAGCGGACGGCGTGTCCTTGCGGTTGGTCAATGCAGCCCCCCCTTCCACCTGCCCCCAGCGCAGCATTAACCAGGGCGGCCTCCTGGGGGTTAAGCCGCGACACCTTTGTGCAGCGTGCGGCAAACGCGCCGCCACCACTCCCGGGGGCAGTGTCCCGTCGTCCCCTCCAGCTGATCGCGAGCGCCACTCCGTTGGGTGTTTGAGAGTCAATTCTCAGCCCTGGCTGTGTGTGCGGCCGCGGTGCACACAACGAGCCCCTAAGCGACAACAGCAGCCTCTACAACCCACTACCACCAGCAGCAGCAGCAGAAATAATAATGTACAAAGAGAATCAAACAAGAGTTTTCGATCACCCGCAGGATTTAAATGAATTAACATTTTCCCACCACCAATCTCTCCCTCCCTACCAGCCTACGGGCTCTCGGCGCATTAATTTCCGACAGAATCGTTTTTTTGTAAAGTAGGAAAACGATGAAAAAAAATCGGTTTCCATGTTTTGCAATCTCGTCAGCAGGGCTGTGGCCCGAGTTTGACACGGGTTGATAAACTGCGGCCCGGTTTCGTTTTCAAAATCCGTCTGCTCTCTAAGTAACGGCGCGGCCGTCGAGAGCAGAACAACAGAGCCGGACTGCTCATAACATAGATCTCCCCTAACATAGATCTCTAGTGACATAGATCTCTCATAACACACACTACAACGTTGTCACCCACACACACTACAACGTTGTCACACACACTACAACGTTGTCACACACACTCACTACAACGTCGTCACACACACACTACAACGTCGTCACCCACACACACTACAACGTTGTCACCCACACACACTACAACGTTGTCACCCACACACACTACAACGTTGTCACCCACACACACTACAACGTTGTCACCCACACACACTACAACGTTGTCACCCACACACACTACAACGTTGTCATCCACACACACACTACAACGTTGTCACACACACACACTACAACGTTGTCACACACACACTACAACGTTGTCACGCACACACACACTATAACGTTGTTACACACACACACTACAACGTTGTTACACACACACACTACAACGTTGTTACTCATACACACTACAACGTTGTCACACACACACACTACCACGTTGTCACCCACACACACTACAACGTTGTTACACACACACACTACAACGTTGTTACACACACACACTACAACGTTGTCACACACACACACTACAACGTTGTTACTCATACACACTACAACGTTGTCACCCACACACACCCACACACACTACAACGTTGTCACACACACACTACAACGTTGTCACACACACACTACAACGTTGTCACACACACACACTACCACGTTGTCACCCACACACACCCACACACACTACAACGTTGTCACGCACACACACTACCACGTTGTCACACACACACACTACAACGTTGTCACACACACACACTACAAAGTTGTCACACACACACACTACCACTTTGTCACCCACACACACTACAACGTTGTCACACACACACACTACAACGTTGTCACACACACACACACACTACCACGTTGTCACCCACACACACCCACACACACTACAACGTTGTCACACACACACTACAACGTTGTCACACACACACACACTACAACGTTGTCACACACACACACTACCACGTTGTCACCCACACACACCCACACACACTACAACGTTGTCACGCACACACACTACCACGTTGTCACACACACACACTACAACGTTGTCACACACACACACTACAACGTTGTCACACACACACACTACCACGTTGTCACCCACACACACTACAACGTTGTCACACACACACACTACAACGTTGTCACCCACACACACACACACCCACACACACTACAACGTTGCGTCATCCACACACTCTGCGGTCCGCGCTGCCTTCACAGTGGGCGCCATTATTGATCACCTCTCCCCGATAATTGGCACAAGGAAGCCCCCCCCCCCCTCCACGACCCCCCACTTCCCCCCGCCCAACGCCGCTCAGAATCAGAACGGCCACCGCGTCTAATTGGCAAGACCTCCTGCCACTCAAGCGCCTTCGGTGACATTCAAGACAGCCCCCCCCCCACATCACCTCCCCACTCGCCCGCTGTTTATTTTAAAGGGGGACTGTGGCGTTTTGCAGGTCTCTCGCTCTCCATTCTCCATGGGATTTGGGCGAGAAAGGTCAAAGGGGTGACTCCCAAGTAGTCATCAAAAATCTAGAAGGGCGCAGGGCAGGGAGGAGATGGGGGGGGCAGCAGTGATTGTCGATACGCATGGCGTGGGGAGTGGTCAGTCGGTGTGCGTGCTGCCCGAGCATGGCGGGGTGAGGGGGGGCCGCTGGGGCTAAGGACGGCGTTTGACTCTCGCCGGCTCCTCATCTTAGACGGTGGCCATCTCTCAATTGGGCAAAGGGGGTGTCACATTGTCCTCTCCTTGCTCAGCTATAGATTATTGTTGTTATTGTACGGCAGTTATATTAAACCTCTTGTTTATTGTTGATATTTTTTACGACCAATGTCATGATTCATCACTGGGTTCTTTTGAGTTAGGTCACCGTGTGGGTATCATGTCAGTCGTGAACTGATAACCCTCCAGCACCCAACGCGTGGGCAGATGTGCTCATTGATTTTGTGCGTTCACAAAGCCGATTCCGTTGAAAGGCGAGACAATTCTTGACAATTTTATTACAATTGTCAACGTTTGGCATAATTTGCCAAATGTCGGGTGGTGGTGGGATATATAGTTAAACAATTGACTTTAAAATAAACTGTGAAGCCCCTTATTCTTGTGACGCCGCACAAGCACAGACGACAACAATAACATCAACTCGACACGTTCGTCAACACTGCTGCGTTACAAAAGAACAGAAACAAATTAGATGACGTTTCGGGCAATGATCCTTCTTCGTATCAGAGAAATGTCTGCAATGACGACCCTATCAAAACCATACGGCTCTCTCTCTCTTGGCAATTTCAGTGAGCTCTGCTTCAAATAAACACATTTAGCCCGAAGCGTCACATTGTGGGTCTGGCGTGGCACAACCCAGCGTCGCGCATTTACCCGATAGCCTCGTGAACACAACCACAGAGTGGCCTCAAAGACCCTTTGCATGAAAAATGAAACAATGCACTCCGCCCCCCTCCCTCCCACCGCTCGATTTTTGTGGCTGAGTGGAACCGAACCCAATGCCGCTTCCACGAGGCCAATCCGCTCCGCACGTGATGCATGCTGGGTCATGAGTCCAGAATGCTTTGCGGCGAGCACGCTCCCTCCTCTTGGACGACGGCGTTTTGTCACGCCCGTCACGATTCACGTGGGGGAGGAGGAGGAGGTTTACCGATGCGCTGCGGAAAATGTGGTTCGTCGGTGCACACAGCTCGTCTGAAGACTCTGCCACGGCCGTGGAGGCAGACGCCCGCCCGCCCCTCGTCTCTCTCCTCCGTCGTAAACTCCCCCGGGGCTGCCACGTTCAGAATCCCACTTTGAAAAAGCATTCAAAACGAAAAGAGATCGTGAATAAATGTGTCATGCCAAGGGACGTCGTGGCCACGCTGTACATGACGCGTCGTTCAGAGTCGTGGACGTTTCGCTGCGCAGTTGTTTGGGCTATAGTCGGGTTCATCACCTATGTTGGCTACGTACGGTGCGAAAGAAGTTCTACATACGTGCATACATTACGCGAGGCGTCGATGCCGCCTAGACACGAATACAACTGGGAGGGCTTGGGCGTTGATACTGCAATTGTGTTTGGGGTCGTTGCAAATGTAAATCGGTACGTGAGGACGTGTGGTCACATTGTGAGTCTATTTTCACGTCCATTCGTAATAGAAATATAGAATTCGAAAAACATACCGCTCTTTGCAAATTGATAACATACCAGTAAGAATGAATTGTCATTTCTCAGGCAATATCATGATGGTGATACTCAAAATGGTCACAATCACGCCACTAATTCTTATTAGAGATATAATTTCAGTTCCTTGAAGACCAGGAAAGAGGTTATTGTGACCTGGGTCAAACAGACGAACACAGGAGTGACACGTCTTACCGACAACCCGTTTCTAGAGTACAAAGTTAAACACAATAAAAGCGGACATGATGAGGTTCAAAGGGTTCTTGAGTTCCAAAAACATCGTACATCTCCTTCACAATTGTCAAATTCGAGACACAAGCCACAGTAGGTAATAAAAATAAAACAACAAAAGAATTTTATTATGTTTTATTTTTATTATTTTATTATTTCCCTTCTACGTGACTTTACCGAAAGAACCAAGAAGATGAATCCATGCAGTCACGAAAGCTTTAAATCGAAATTCAAGCCACAGTAGTAATGGCGGGGCGTGCACAGTGAACCCACTGTGGTTTGTGCTCCTTCAACAGCGCCACGACACGAACTCTCTCTCTCTCTCTGCTGAAGCCCTCTCGTAGTGGCCAACATCAGTAGCAGCAGCAGACCTGCACATTGGCATCGAGCTGCTGAACATATTGCTGCAATACACAAGCATAAAATAGCGCTGACAATTCCATTCAATGGGACCGCAAACAGGTTCACATTACCACCAAGATCTATGGTAAAACACAACAGCGTGTTTAGGAGCGCTAGGCGTTAGGTGTCAAATCTCAGCGTTGTCTGAAAAGAGAGAGAGATGCCAACGGCGCTCCATGTGTGTGCGTGTGTGTGTGCGTGCGTGTGTGTGTGTGCGTGTGTGCGCGCTCTTCCATGCTGCCCTGCGAGCTCCGGTGCTCTCAGAACTTTTGCTGATGTCCGCCAAGCCACGCACGGTGCCGGTGTGGCACAGAGAGGCAACACGAGCAAAGCTCGAGGCCTTAACGACGCCACTCGCTGCTCGCCCCGAGAGTCGCGCGGGGAACAAAAGGGTAACGATCGAAATGAAATCACAAATCCGATCCGGTAAAAAGAATCCCGGGTGCCCCAAAGATCTGTCCGGGACCAGCGGGATTTAAGTGAGCGTGCATATTCTACGCCGGCGATAAACTGAGACGAGACGCGCGTGCCCCACCCCCCCATCCACCTCTTCCTCCACCCCCCAGCGTGCAGTAGTACACAGCGCGGCCGTAACGCAAGCGAGAGAGAGAGAGACGAGAGATGTAGTGAGGACGTTAACTCACGGGACCCGCTATAGTCCATAGCGCCACCGCCCGAGTTTCCCCACCTTCCCTCCCCACGCCACGGAACGCCGCCACTTTTCCGGCGCTGATGAGCGAAGCAGGGGAGGTAGCGATGGATAAGTTCATCCCGGTGACTCGAGACAGGGGGCGGGTTCACTGTGGGACCCCACCACCCCCAGCCCCCCCCGCCCCCCCTTACAGCGACGTGCTGCATGCTCCTTTTTTTATTCGTCTCGGTCTTCTTCGTCTTCCCGGCCTGGCCCTGGGAGCAAATCTTATTTTCTAGTTTCTATTCACTTTTTCAGTCAAACGAATATCCAAGGAATGCGCAAGAAAGCCGGGCAAGAAAATATGTAGGAAAGGAGGTAGGTGACTCGCCTTCCCCGACACTCACAGCAGCCGGTGAGAAAACACGGCTACCACCACCACCCACCACCACCCAGCACCACCACCACCACCACCACGGCGAGGGGTAGGGTCGGCGCGAGGACATCTCCACCGGCGGAGGTGTCTTCCGACCGCACTCCGGATGTGTGCATTGTTGTGCGCTGTGCCTGAGTGTGTGAGCCATGATCATCTCAAGTGAGTAGCTGGTACAAGTGAAACATCGCCACTAGGGAGACAAAGGCGGCCGGGCGTGGTGCTGGCTACCCACCTCCTCGTGTGCCATTCCGCCCTTCATAGGTGGTGCTCGCTAACAACACTTGTCCCGACAGTCTGTTACAGGCTATACGGGGGATCTTTGTCTCTGTGTGTGAATGAGTGTATGAGTGAGCGAGTGTGTGTGAATGAGTGTATGAGTGAGCGAGTGTGTGTGAATGAGTGTATGAGTGAGCGAGTAAATATATGCGTGGCAGTAAGTGTGCGAGCGAGTGAGTGAATATTCGGGAGTGAGTGCATATCATGGCGTGTGTTAATCTTCGTAAGTGTGTTCATGTTAGTGTGTGTGTGTGCAACACAATCTGCAAGGTTTCTTTTCATTCCTGCACAAGCGCTTATTTATTGTTTAAAGTCTAAGCAGGTTACAAACGAATGTGAGATCCCAATTGCATTCAAACCGCAGCAAAACACGCGCACTTGATTTTCTCAATCGCGATGTTGCTCTCCTTCACTCAGCGGTACATTGTTCGGGAAAAAAAAGACACGCTTTGTCCTCGTCTCACACAAATGACGTATTATTTCCCAGCCAAGGTTACACCTGTACATATTTTTTGTTTATAAACCGTAATAATAACACACGTTTACGAATCAATACCAACACCACCGCCATTCGCCACGAAGTGATGGTGACGTCACCAGGGCGCCTGTGCCAGGCTAGGTGCACTTTGAGACACATGTTGACTCACCATACCAAGAGAAAATCCATTCCATTATTTTACCACAAGACAATACCGGTTGAAATGCGGCGTGGGATTCTTGGCTTTGAATTCACAATCACACACAGGGTCAATGTCAGTTTTGTTTCTATGGACCTGGCAGTGTCTCCTCTGCCGTATCGACGGGGACACGGCTGCACGCGGCTCTCTGGCTGCGGTTGCACCGAGAGAGAGGCCACTGGGCCGCATGCCCTGCCCGAGTGTGCTTGCTACGGGTATTTTAATTACACAAAGTCGGAGGCACTTTGTGTAATTAAAATAAATTAAACTCACCTTGAGACGAGAGTGGGCGCGCGATGGATGGGCTTCCGTGGAAGGATGGCATGAATCTTGCTTGTCACCAAGAGGCATGCATGCAGATTAATAAACAACCACGACACGGTCTGCAACACTTGCGCGATACGCTTCCGTAATTAATATGTATGTGTATTGCTTGTTCTAAAACTAAATAATAACCCGGAGACTTTCGTGACTAATCTTACGACTCGTAATTTATTTTTGGGTCAAATCGCGTCATTAAAAGCTGTGTCATGTACCCTCCTCCACCCAACGCAGCCAGCTAATAAAGTTGTCACGAGAGCAAACGTGGCACATAAAGCACTGCTTCAGCACCACAGGTGTGTTGGACAGCGATCGATGGCATTTACCAACTTAGTCCTGTTGTATATGTTGGGTATGAAAATTTGTTATGTTGTATGCGTGCGTGGGTGAAATTATTATGTTGTATATGTGGGTTATGAATATTCAGTGGAAATAATAATAATTAAATGAAATTTGGCCAAATATGTAATTATCCGGAAATATGTTAATTTATGTAATTACGCACATTTTAATTATGCCAATTCGAGAGGTAATCGTATTAATTATGCGAGTGGGTGTAATTATGATAACGCAAGTCGTTATGATAACCAGACCCCGGTTCACCCCGTTATCGCTTTAACATTTACTGAGTATGTATTAGTGTGTTTATTAAGGTCACCAAGTTCAAATCTCAACGCAGAAGCAGATCTTATGCATAGATTTCAGGAAAGAATCACACAACCACTTCTGTATTGATCAATTTATTACTAATTCAACCTTAACTATGATATAGTATGCGAACTCTCAATCCCGGAACGTCAATACGGCATCAATACAGTATCATCAACGATTGTCTGATTTCACTTTGACAACGGCACATGGATCCCGCATAACGCGATGGTTGTTAGTGAGAGAGAGAGTCGTTAAAACATGCAAATATGCTAAGAAAACCTTAACGTTAATGAATGATTATACTCAATATTGTTCACGCAGTACCGCACTCCTTATTGATCATACGCAACCCTTATCACGTTGTTAGCACCTTGGGTCACGGAACAGTTGAATATTCTGTAGAGGATGCGAGTACGTGCGGCGATTATGACTGAAAGATACTTGAAAGATTATACGGCGATAAAAAAAAAACACAATCAAAAACAGTTATTATTCTTAAAGGCACCAATCTCAACAGATACATCGGCAGGTTATCTCAGAACGGCTCGGAGTAAGGGCCTGCGACGGTGCTCCTTTTCCGAAGCTCGTTATCTTATACCAAGTTTACTAATTGGGGACCAGATCACCTGATAAGGATCCGGTGGGCCACCACTCCCCACGTGAGCGTGGCTCGGCGGAAGGAGGTGCCAAGAATCAGTTCGTATTGATGGATCTGTTGGGAATTTATGCGATTAAGAGTACAGCCCACTAAATATTAAAGATAAAAATTAAGAATACTCTTATAAGAGACGGAGGGCCATCCCTCGGTCTCGTTGTGATGCTTTCCAGCCACGGATGGCTTATGGGTTCGAGTGTTTTTGAGTGGTAAGAGTTGTCTTGAATAGTCAGTGTTCGGAGTCGATTCTTTAGGTCAAACAGACGCCTGGTGGTCGTGTGGTGAGGGGGCGGTGCGCGTCATACGTATCAGTCGATCCCGTGGCGAATTGGTTCGGATGGCTGTTGATACGCTGTCGCAGTTCGGAACCCGGTCGGTAGGTGGCGCCCACAACTCGCTCGTAGCGTGCAGCGCTGGATCGTCGCCAAACCGCAACGATCACCACTCCGGCGGCAGCAGAGATCTCCGGCGGCAGCAGAGATTGACGAGCTGAAGATGAGTCGAGCCGACCCGCTGGTCGCAGCTCGCTCCTGAGTCGACCCTCCCGGTCGAGCTCGCTCCTGGGTCGACCCGCTGGTCGCCCTCGCTCCTGAGTCGACTCTCTGGTCGCACTCCTGAGTGGACCCACTGGTCGCACTCCTCCTGAGCCGACTCCCCCGGTCGCGCTCCTGAGTGGACCCTCTCGTCACACTCGTTCCTGAGTCGACCCTCCCGGTCGAGCTTCTGAGTGGACCCTCCCGTCGCACTGGTTTCCAATGCTCAGGATCCTTTACTTTATGCCGAAAATTCCCCCTGGATCCCGCCCACAAGGCGGGGCTTCTTCCGATTTTTGCTGTGTCAGGATCTGTCCGTAGGCAGGTGTGTCCATGTGTCTGTCCGTATGTCCGTGTGTCCTTGTGTGCATCACTGACGGTATATTCGTTGTCACACTCCCTCCATAAAACCCACGAGCAAACAATCAGATGTTACAAATTGCCTCGAAGTCGTCTCTCTGTCTGGGTGCAATATTATCTCTTGTCTGGCCTTCTTCATGACCCAAAACACAGACGTTACAAATCGTCTCATAGGCGTCTTTGTTCGTGTTGCACAACCTGGAGGGAGGGGCAACACTCTCTCCGACCCGGCGCACAAAGAAATGGTTAAAAAGTTTTAAGTTAACATTTGTCCCTTACTATTTCACAGTTATGATTCTGTATGTAACCTAAGGTCTGTCGTTTCCCATCGTGGTGCCCGACCCAAGTGTAGGTGTTTCCCCGAGCGTACACACACTCCTATCCCGCGCTGCGGGGATACAAAGACGGCCGGGATCTCCCTTTCTCTCCGACCCTGGGTTTAACATTGTTTTTTTTTATTATGTATTTATATTCGACCTGGTGGTGATTCATCCCGTTATCCTGGCTTTTCCATAAGTTTTACTTTTGTCTTTTCATGCATATACTTATTACTATTAATTTATTTCCGATATCTTAGGTTAAGGGGTAAGTTTCTTGATCCTAGGAATTCGTATTCCTTGGTGCCTGGATGGTTATATAAGCGGAATATAGTTTACGGTGAATAGCGTTAACATTGATGTTATGTGCGATATTATGTATTGTGATGTCTTTAACTTAACTTGTTTGTCAGGGCTTTACTGACACGAAGTTGCATTCATAGCCCGCAGTCTTTGCCCCACCCTATCTCTGCTCGCCGTGGTTGTTGCAGTCCAGCTGCCGTTAATTCAAGGCCTCATTAATTTCCGTCACTCCTGAGTAGGTGAGGGCGGTTGAACCTTGGAGTCAGTTCTGGTTTTTGTCTGCCTGCTTCTTCTTGTGTCCCCTGACCCCGGGAGTTATTATTCTACTTTATGGCCTGTCGAAGCCCCACTCGCTGTTGCTGGGCTGGTGTTGTTCCCGGCTTTTTGCTTACGTTTGCAGTTCGCCGTGCTCTTGATTTCCTTCCCTCGTCAACCTTATATCGATTATTCGCTCCTGTCTGGGTGCGATTCAATTTTGACTTAGGAAGGTTCTGATTGTCATATGCTTCGGGTCGAATTGTATAGAAAGTATTGAAGTATGGAAATAACATTTCATATTGACTTAATAATGGTGATGGTTCAGTAGGCGTAACTTGTGGCCTGGTTTAATTGGAGTGGGTGTGAATATCAATAACTTTAGCCTACCCTGTTGTTAAATTCCGACTTTAACGTTACTTTAATAGCAATACAGAATAATTGGGCTTTTTGCCTTAACTATGTCTGGCTGACACTCCCACTGTCTCTGCCCTTGCACGGGTGACATGTGCCCGTTCATCAGGCCTTATCTTTCCTTGAAGCAAGGTTGCAAATTCTGCCATCCTAGCCCTCCTCCGGTTCATTACTTAACAA